ACCTTGCCAATAATACTTCGATTACATTCCTCCAGACTCTGAAAAATATCCTCACCTTCTATCTGTATCCCTCCAGCTTCCTTGTCAGACAATACAAACTTCCGCATCACCTCTTCCAATTCCTCGGCCATTTGACCCAATCTCAGATTCCCACAGAATCACTACCAGTTACTAACCAAACCTGCAACAGAAAACAGGACAGAAACTAGAACCACTCGATGCAAAGCAAAGCAACCGAGTTGCGAATCAAACGAAACAAAGAAACAAGAGAACAATTATCTAGCCTTAAGAGAAACAACGAAGCAGAAATGAAATCAAGCGAAACTCACAGAACAGAAGGACAGACAACAACAAACAAACAAAGGCAGGATCAAAGATCGCAACAGACAGATCAGAAACAAAGTCAAAAAAGAACTGAAAGAAACTTTCATCAACCAAAGAGAGACAAAACAAACACAGAAACTAACGATAAAGCTCCAGCTGCACCTACACCAACGATGCAACTGCAGCTACTATGTAAAAGGCAGTCACTCATTCAGACGATCTAGATCGAGCTAGGACGAACTGGACGAAACCTCCGACCTCACCTAGCTCAGTCCAGATCAATCTGGACAGCTCAAATTCCTCATAACGCAAGGCATATTCTGATATATGATTTTGATTGCACAGAACTTCATACCAATTTGAATCAACTGAGGGTGATCGGTGAACAGTAGATATTATTATGTTTTTGAAAATTGGGAAAGTTTGAACTTCCACGCGGGAAGAGAGAACTCTCAGGTTAGAGAGAGAAAGTTGCTCTCACTAGAGGAGAGACTTGTATAGTAATAAACTGGACTTAATCCTTAAAGCCTCTTTCTTTCAAAATGATTAGATGAAAATGTGTCCATCCATGTGCATAATACGGGTATGTATCACGTGTTGTTTACGCATGTTAACACATAAACGCATGTACACAGGTGTCATACATTTAAAACGGTTTTAAAATTCAAAAGACTTATAAGCATCCATGCTTGTATACATGTGGATGTGCACATTAATATACTTACATATGTGTCTTTAGAAAGATAAAAAGAGGACAAAAACTAGTTTTAATTAAAAATAAAATATCTAAAAAATAATTTTAATGAAGCTAACCCAAAAGGCATGTATTCATCCAAATAGCTTATCATTTTACTCCATTTGACGATTGAATCATTAAAACCTACAAAAATATGAAGTTTTAATAGCTTAATTCTATAGAAATGTAATGTTTCTCCTTAAGTCACATAATGCAAAGTTCAACTAAAACCCTAGTTACTTGATTCAAACTTGAATAAAAACACATAAAAAACAAACATAATTAACCACATAAAAACATGTAAAATAAGAACTTGTCATGTATTGATGCATGTACATAATTAACCATGGAATTCATGAAACGATGATCAGATGATGAGGAGTACATTAGTTTGTGATCTGATGATTTGGAATTCATGAGACAATGATCAGATGATCGGATGATTTGGAATTCATGAAACAATGATTAGATGATCGGATCATATGATGACAAACAAATAAAGTCGTATTTTTGGCAACATATGTTGGTCGAGGTGACAGCTTGCTGATCTTTGCACCGCATAAACGCAGACCACTTGCTTTGGGCGACATCAATAGTAGTGCTGACTGCTGACGGGATTTATTTGGGTCAATTGCAATACGTACCCAATACCATGATTTATTTATTGTTACCTCCAGCTCTAAATTATTAACTTCAGTAATTTGAAAAACTTTACTTTGATGCAATTCACAAGGTTCAATAAGTAATCCGTATTTCACGATCAAATATGTAATACTCTTTGTATCTTATGCTATGAGATTTTGAAATATCGTCCAACAGGTGAAAAAAGCTACATAATTAAAATTTAGCCATCGATACGCAAAAATTCAAATGTAAGCCTGATATTATATATGTACTTAGAGCTGGCAATTATATCCAAAACCTAACAACCCACTCAACTCACCCATTAATTTGAGAGGTTGGGTTGGGTAAGTTGAGTTTTGGATTAATTTTGGGTTGGGTAATAAAAATCCATATATATTTTGGATGGTTTGGGTATTTGTGTTGGACACCCATTACCCAACGTAAGTTAAAAAACCAAATTAACAAATTAAAATCAAGAAACAAAAAAAAAAGACCAGCCTTGTTGGATCAAGCAAAACCCATATATGTACTGGTATGTATAATTATCATATATATACTACTACTACACACTGAGAAGGATGATCAACGAGTAATGCTTAAAAAGAACAAAATTTGAGAAATGAACGGTGCAACACAAATGTCAGTAGGATTTTTTTTTAAAAAAAAAAGAAAAGAAAAAAGAAAATCCTTGTACTCTTCGCTCTTCACATCCATCCTTTTGCCGAGTTCTGGAAAAATGCATCCTACTGTTCTTCTATTTCTTTTTCTTTTTTTCATTCAAAATGAAAAAACAAGTCCCCCCCCTCCCCATTTATTGATCACTTCATCGAGATCTTTTAGTTTTGTTCGACCCAAAATTGTTGCTTTGGTCTCTTAGTTTGGACCAAAACTATACCCAATTTGAAAATTCTTACTTGTATAAAAAATAGTGAGTTCATCCAAGTAGTTTAAATAGTTAGTATGTGTGTGTATTTGTGAAAGTATATTAGTGTGTATTGTAATGTGTTTGTATGTGTAAAAATAATGTATTTCAAAAGAGTTTAAGAAGTGAGTGTGTGTGTCTATGAGTGTTTTAGTGTGTAAAAATATGTCTATCTATGTGAAAATGTGTTTATGTGTGTGAAAATTTTTTTTTATGTGAAAATGTATTTGAGAGAGTTTATGTATCAAAATTTATTAATTAATATACTGGGTCATATTTGGGTCATGGGTTTGAGATGAGCCAATATAACCCAACCCAAAATTAACCCAATCTAAAGTTGGACGGATTGGGTGTCACCCATTTAAATGAAAACCCAATATCAATCCGCCCAAAACCCGCCCAACCCGCCCAATTGCCAGGTATATATGTACATACGATAGGATGGGATAGGATTGACACGCATGGATCTTTAGGTGCTGAAACTCCACGTGGAAGAAGAAAAAGGTGATAGTTTTATTTTATTTCTTATTTTTGTTATGTTTTTGGAGTGTTTTTAGAATATGTTGCTATAGACTCCAAAAATTTTTTTTAAAAAAATTGTTTTTGAAATACTCCTCAACCGGAGCAGAGCCTTAATACAATCAAGCCTTCCGTCTCTTCCGCACCTCTAAAAACTATTCTTTGCCGCTGTCAAATGAATTTGGATATGATTTTTTCCTCTCAAGAGGGATTACCATCACATAGAGTGATATTTTAATAGTCTTTCTTCAGGAGTATTTATTTATTAAGGAGTTTGATCTTAAATCTATTACTGGATCAAAACCTCTGATGTGAAAATAATTTTCCTGTTTTTTACCTTCACAATTTCCAGGTCTGAGTCCAGGTCGAATAAATAATGGAGTTATATTTGTATTCACACTGAAAAAAAAATTTATATTTGTATTCATACTGGGAAAAAGGAAAATTAACGGGTCCGAATCGGATCTGAGTGACTGGGTATTTGAAGCCCCACGTGGGTTCATGACGAGGACCCTACCATTATCATATTGTTTCTCCTATCCTCCCATTGGCCACATATAATTTAAGTAGTTTAGTTGTTGTTAAATTTTAAATTTTCAGCAGAAGATTTTGTGCACAATTTGTTCTTTTCATGTGGTGAGGAGATGATAGAATTGAACTCAAAAGCATGGTCCAATCTGTTCATTGTATTAAAGTTTTATGCTTCTCTTTTAGAGTGCCTATTCGTGTTGATGCCACCACTAATCTAAATATGTGATAGTGCTGTTAATTAAGGAAAACCTATAATTAATGTGTTGTAAATTGAGTTGAATCTAGATAGTTTCCATCTAAAAAAAAAAAATTTTTTTTTGATGGGTTGATTGTGTAAATTGGAATTTGGGTGCTGATTTCAAGATATAATGGCCTCATCAATTGCTCTTAAGATAAAGCAGGACATTCTTAAGAGCAAAGAAAAAGTGTGGCCAATGCTATGATGTCCACTTCTAATAGCAGGTTTGAAATTGAGGATCCAGTAAATGATGGATAGTTATAAGAATTGCTGTGAGTTTCTTTTGACTTTATCTCCATATGAAAAGAGCATTGACAGGTTGTCGAAGCCTGTGCAATAATAAAACCTGCTCAAACTAAAAGTAATTTCTGTAGATAGCGGTAAGCAGGGTCGAATCTACAGGGATTGGGAGTAATTGTTCCTTTTCAAATTCACAGTGACAAAGGGGGGTGTTTTTATATCAGGGGTGACAATTCAACTAAAAGTAAAATAATAAAAATAAAATAGCCAACTAGAAATTAAAAAAACAATTTACTAAAATCAAAGGATCTAGCCAAGGAATAACTTCAGCAATGGTTCACCTAATTGATCATCGAAACAAGGGCAATTCCAATTATTCATCAATAAATAGGTTATAACTACCAAACAAGCGATGGCAGTCAACCCCTCCTTACTGTGTCGGTGATCAAGGTACGCTCGTTAATCACTGCTCTAATTGAGAAATAATCCTAGGTACGCCCGTAGAATTTAATTCTCCAATTGCCTTACGTATTAGAGGAGCCCTATTCTAACCAAATAACGCACTACCAGTGTTATTTTAGATTAGCCACCGTATTCCCCTGACACAAACCCAATCATGCCAGTTGCCACTATTTTAGAGCAATTAAACAATTACGGATTTAATGCCCTAATTGACAATAGATTATCCAATCAACTAATTATCTGGATCCAAAACAATCAATTAATTAAATAACCATAAGCATAGCAACCAAGAAATATGTGGATACCAATAAATAAAAGGAAAAGATTAAATTAAAACGATCTCACAATTTTTAGGCGAACCAGAGCCATCGTTGCTCCTTGACTAGAGTGGTGAAATTAGTTCATGTTTGAAGCAGAGAAACCATACAAAATTATAGCGAGAGTAGCGGCCATGATCTCCGATTGGGCGAACTCAATTCGCTTGAAACAATCAAGGAAATAACGGAGCTACAGAGGGGAATTCAATGCTTCCACTTTTTCCTAACATCCGAGGGAAGCCAAAATGCTAAAAGACAAGGAGGGAAAAGTCAACGAAAGCAATTCCTCAAATGCTCCTGACTTGCGCAGGAAAGGTCCTAATCAAAAGCCTCCAAAGAGAAATCAAAAGCTTCCAAAGAGAAATCAAAAGCTAAGCTTCCGTAGTGCTGGTCCTATGCTATTTCTATATTTTCTATCTCCTCTGCGGCGGCTCTCCTTCCGGAGAGGAAGAAGTGACACCCCTTAGGTTTGCTTTCTTTGCCCTTTTTTCTAGTTGCTGTCTTCGGTCAAAATTATCAAAAAGGTCTTGCATCTCCTTGTTCCAAAAATACCCTGGATGCTTGCTACTTGAACTCTTTCCTGATAACTGTCAAATCGACACTTATTATGATATTTTCGTTCTACTCCCTGAAATATATGCAAAATATTAAAAGTGAGTAGAATCTAATAATTAATTCATATCAAGTCAGGTAATAGGGGAAATTAATAATAAAATAAATGACAAAATTGTAACCTATCAAGCATAGCGTTAAACTGTGCAGATAAATGATACATACAGACACTCAGACACTGCAACACTTTTTATTCCATCCAGAAATTAAAGTACTAGAACAAAGACCGTATATCATCCCAGCTAACTCGATTCTCCAGTTGTTCCTGCAGTGCTGCAATCAGAACTTGCAATGCTGCATTCTGAAGGTGCAATGCTGCATTCTGATCTCTTAGGCTCCCAATCTCAGCATCCTGCTTAGCAATCTTCCTCTCGAGTTCATCCGTCTCTTCTTCCCTCTTCCTTTTCCCCCTTTCTCGAGCTTGTTGCTCCAGTTCTGGCCTCGAATCTGCTTCACGCCCTTCTAGCCACATTGCTTGTGTCTCATCATCATCCTTCATTCCAGCCGCAGCTTTTCGGCTCTTAATATCGGCATCCTTTGCTTTGAGCAGATGTTCCAGTTCAGCAATCTTCACTTCCTTTTCTTTGAGCCGAGCTGCCAGTTCAGCACTCTCCCCTTCCTTTGCTGGTGTCTCATCATCATTCTTCTTTTCCTCCTTTGCTTTGAGCAGAATGAGCTTTTGCTTCTCATTCTTACTTTTCTGTCTTCTTCTTGCAAACCATGACCTGATTTGGTCTGCTTTTAGTCCAGTATCCTTTACCAACTGGTGCATCACTTCTTCTCCAGGAATGTAGTCACTCATTTCAAATTTCTCTTCAAGAATTTTGACCTTCTCTTTCGGTAAAGGAGGCGCCATTCTTCTTTTTGAGGTTTCCTCTCCTCCCTCTTTAATTTTTCAAACACTTGTGCCGAAGAAGGTGCATACAAATTGTTTGTCAAGCGAGGCCCCTGTTTTATATTGTCAATCAGAAGGTGCTTAGCTTAGTCGATTCATGGTTGCATTGCCGTGATGTACAAAATAAAAAAGGCAGAAACTTTCGGTTAAAAAAGTGCGATATTGTGATAGAAAAAAAATTAGTCATTGGCATGCTTGTGCATAATACATAATGGATACAGAGTAATCCTAAACCCTAGATACTACAGTTGAACTAGGCCAGGTGGATGACGTGGATCACACGTCGACAAGGTTGGTGCTTTTCAACCGTTCCAGAGAGTTGCACATAGTACAAATAGAAGCTGTTAAAATCGACCGCCGGCTCAATCAAATTCCCTGTCCGCCGCCAAGGATTATTGCATTTCCACATATCTCCAAGGATTATTCCATTTGACCAATTTGGCCTGGGAGCTGCTCCCAGTTGATGCCAATTTTTGGGAGCAAACAAGCTGTTGAGGGACTTGCATTTTATTTCTTCTAGAAATACAATGACTCATAATCAACCCCTTCTACCCGTTATTCAATAGTTCATTTAATAGCTGCATCCCGTGTGGCTCCACAAGGATGTCTTGGCCAAATTTCATCATGCACAGATGAGTCAGCTTTCACCATAGATGAAAATACTATCTTAGAAAAAAGATTAGAAAAGGAAAAATAAAGTAGCAGCTCCTCCTAACTTGGGATTGATTTAGAATCTTGCTGATGCTGTAGGTGGGGGATTAGATTATTGGATTGGATGCCAATAGGAAGCGAAAAGTGAAACGCAAGTAAAAGTTGGTCAATTCGTAACTAAACGTGTCAAAAGTGTCCAAAATAAATAGATGGGCACCATCACCCAATGCCTATCTTAAACACGAGCAGTTGGCATTTTATTGTCGTATCAGCATAATACACCCAATGCCTATCTTAAACTACTTTGCAAACTCAAACATGCATATGCATAGGTAGAAAAATGCGGCTAAAAAAAATTAATTATGATAAAAGTTGGTAAGGATCTTGTATAATCCAATTTAATATTTAAATTTAATGATTTAGATCGATGCATTTGATAATAAAAAAAAATGTGAATTAATTAAGTGGCATTGAATTTTTTTAGGTAAGATTTGATTCAAAAAAAATAATAAATTATTTACTTATCAGTTAAGGGCATCCATTTTCGGTTCCTGCTTCCAACCCATGTCACACCCTTCGCTCAAAATTCATCAAATCTCAAGTTATTTACAAATACCTCATAAAGTAGCCGCTTAACATATCCAACAAAAAAAATTCGAATTAGTAGTAGCAGTTAGACTTGTTCAACTTTCACTTCCTTTCATAGATGCAACAGATGACTCATGATTTCATCTGTGAAACATAAAAATCTCTTCCAACTCAGGTCAAAATTTAATCTAAATTCAAAGATTATTTATCAAGCTTTATGTGAGCGCAATAGCAATTGGGAAGAAAATAAAACGAGGCCCAAGCAAGAGACTCCATTGAGCGAAAATGAATTTATCTAATTCGGCGTCAATGTTTGACGGGAAGAGTTCAAGTGAAGGGCAACGGAAGGATGAATTGGGCCGCGAGCAGGGGAGCTAGCAAGGGAAAAGATGAAATGGATGAAGAAAATGCTGTAGATAGCAATCGACTAGATAACATGGTAGCCCAGTTGTCTAGGAATGAAGACAACAATTGTAAGGTTGGGATATGTCCATATCTTTGAATTAAGTTATTGCAACCTAATTGTTTTCCATTTGCATTCTGCAATGTACTCCAAGTTAAGGCAGTATTGTCAAGGGATAATTTTAAAATCCTCCCCTAAGGTTTCTGACAATTTCTTTTCAGCTCCCTTGACCCTGAGGATTACATAATTACAAGGACCTTATTTAGTGTAATAAAAAGACAATAATGCCCTTCATCTAATTGTCAGCTCATTAAAAAATACTATACCAAAAATTAGTCTCTCTTATCTATTATCGACCAATGACTCAAACTACGACCTTCCCTATTTAACTCTATGTCATCTCCCTCTTACATTCGCTTTTCTTTCAAATTCATTTATATATTCCTAGGTAGTCAAGACTTGAAGATTTACAGTGGCAGCAAATTTGGCTGGTGGGAACAGGTGCCATGGGTTATCCAACTCAGCAATAGATGGATAATATCCCTTCTTCTGCATCTTCGTCGATGATTAAACCGAGCGAATTCATCCATAAGTCGCTGAAATAGCACTGTCAACGGGTATGGTAATGTTGAGAACGAAAAGAAGACTGCCAGACAAAGTGAAATTAGGCAGTGGCGCATCCACCAGCGTGAAAATACAAGTGAGAAAAGAGATGCTACTGAAATGGATCCAAATATGGCCAAGGATATACTGTTCTTGGTAGCATAGGAGATGCAGTACATGAGTGTACTTGTGGAAGCTAAGAACATGATGTTGGGATGAGCTTCCAATGGATTTGTTTCCCTTGCTTGATACTTGAGTCCCAGAAAGTTGAGCACTAGTGGAAGAGTAAACTGGAAAAATGAATGGGAATTGCTCAATCTGGGGCTTCTTGGAGGTTGAGAGATTATGATTCTTGGACTAGAGAACAACGTCATGTTAGATTGTAATGTGAAGAAGTAGAGGTTTCCATCAGCGGGATAAGAGTCCATCTCATCAATATACTTGTGTTGCGGAGTGATGGTTTGGACTTGGGAAATATATAATGGCAAACGTGGTCGCCAAAACAATTTAAAAAAAAAAAAGAAAAATATTTGCAAAAATTAAAAGTACAAAAGTTGTTTAGTTTGATTCCTCCCAATTTTGCCATTCCATCTGCACTACAATTTGCTTTCATGTATATATGTGGAAGCCGCTTAAGCCTAGTAAGCAATTTTTTTTTTTTTTTTTTTTGTAAAACAAAGTTTGAATGGGTTCAACTCCGATCACCACCATAAGTCAGGCTATGCTTTCAGAACTATATAGGTCGCGTACAGAAATTTTTACAGATTGTCCATTAACACAGACCTTACATCAATAGTAAAATTTGAACAATTAATTTTTAAAAGGGAGTTCAGTGTTAATTTTTTTTTTTAAAAAGTGAAATTATATTTAAAAAAAAAGAAAAATGTTTCAGGATGTAATAGGGGTAATAAATATAGTTATGTGTATTTATATAATAAAACATTTGTAACATCAGGCAAACTTAAAGTAGGTTTGGGTTGCCAGCTTTGTACAGAAAAGTGTCTTGAATTTTTTAAAAATATTTTCTTGCACATTTTTCAACCATTCTTTTACGAACTATATACATGTGTGTGTTAGGGTTGCAAACGAATCGAGTTTGGACTAATTGAGTCGAGTCTTGACTTAATTTTATCAAACTTGAACTCGAGTTCAAACTCGACGAACTAGCAATTTAAATCTCGAACTCGAGCTCGAAAAAATAAAAAATAATTATTTTTATTTTTTAAAAATAAATAAAATAATATTTTTTAATAAATAATAAAATATTATGGATATATATGTAATTTTATTATTAAAATACAAAATAAAAAAAAAAATATATATATATATATATTCAAGCTCGCGAGCTAAAGAGTTTAATATTTTGAACTCGTACTCGACTCGAGTTTTGATTTAAACCGCTCATAAGCGGTTCGATTCGTTTGTGACTCTATATATATATATATATATATATATATATATATATATATATATATATATATATATATATATATATATATATATATATATATATTTATTTATTTATTTATTTATAACAATTCCAAAGAATCACAATCCAAACCGGTCCTTAAACGCTAAATCCTCTTTCTTTCTTTCTTTCAAAACGAGCCAGGATTTAGAAGAGCAACAGTTTGGAAACACGAGACCGTGGAATTCATGAAACGATGAATATCAGATGATGCAGAGTGCCTTGCCTTGTGATCAGATGATTTGGAATTCGTGAAACAATATGATCAGATGATTAGATGATAAACAAATAAAGTGTGTCTTTTTGTCAACTTGTGTTAGTTTGATGATTAGATGATTGGGTGATAGTTTGACGATCTTTCCACCGCATAAAGGTGGAGAGATGGACCACTTGCTTTGGGCGACATCAATGCTCAATAGTAGTGCCGACAAGACATTTTTGGGTTAATTGCAACATGTACCCAAAACCATGATTTATTTGTTGTCACCTCCTGCTGTGAATTATTAACTTCAATAATTTGGAATACCTTACTTTAACACCATTCACAAGGTTTTTTTTTTTTTTGAAGGATACCATTCACAGGTTCAATAAGTAATCCGTATTTCATCATCAAGTATTACATACTCCATGTTATGAGATTTTGAACAGCTGGTACTTGGCTGAAAAGAGGTAGATGGTTAAAATTTGGCCATCAATACGAAAAAAATTCAAATGCGAGGCTCATATCATGTCATGTACTTATAATACAATTGACATGTATGGATCCTTGTAAATAGAAGCTAAACATCATATCTTTGGTACATGCGCCTACAATTTCTTTTCTTTTTCTTTTAATACATTAGAGGGCCAAGGGATCCTTATGAATAAAAGCAAAATATAGTAAAATCTCTATAAATTAATAACATTAATGGGAACATATAAATTATATTAATTTAAAAAGGTATTAATTAATCAATAAATTAATAATTTATTAATTTGTTGAGTGTACTTACAATTCAAAGAAACACTCATTTACTCAACTCAATTTTTATTTTATTTTATAAAAATAAGAATTTTCTATTAATAAAAGGAGGCTAAAAATCTAAGGAATATAAACCAATCCTTATGTACTTGATTTGCAAGTATAATTTAATTGTATTAATATCTTCAATGTATGTAGATAACTGATATCATTTTTCTATTATCATTTAGGAATACTAAATGATAGATGTCCACTTCTATTTTATTAAATACATACAATAAACTAGATTAACAATATTATATATATAAATGATAAGAAAGTTTTCTTCGGGTTCGAGTCATTCCGTTTACACTAAAAAAACAAATTTTCTTATAATAAACAAACATAAAGTTTTTTTTACATATCTCATTGTTAAACTATATATAACTTTTCATCTAAAAGGTATTCACAAATCAATCACGACTAATGAAATGCATAAACTAATCAAATGCATAAAGTATTACGTAAGTATAGTAGAGAAAACCCCATGTGCACTCAAAAATAATTGCAGCAATGGATTTCTGATAGGAAAATATGTTATGTAATTTTAGTGCATTATTAATTTATGATATAAATGGGACCAAAGAGTTACATAAGAT